AGAAATGGCACTTCATAGAGTCCTGGGGAGGCTTTTCAAGTCCTGTCTGCTTTCTTGCTGTCTCTTGGGCTTTATGTTACACCAGACTATTTTGAAGGTGAAACTGAATTTGCATGTTACATAATTTGGGAGTCAGGGGTTTTCTGTTTATTATTTTTTTATTTAAAAAAAAAAAAAAAAGGTTCACCTTGGCAACATTCCTTGATTGCTGTGATATTGCAGAAAAAGGTTTTCTGGATGTTTCGGCATAACTGGAGCCAGCGATAATATTTGAATTAAAAAATGCCGAGTGTTTCCCATGTTTCTTCATTTAAAATTTAATGTTCTTGAAATGTTAAAGTGACAGTGAGGGCGTCAGCGTATGTTTCAAAAGTAGAGACATTTCTTGAAAAGAATATATCTTGACAGGATTGGAAGTCAGAGGATTAAAGCTGAGGGTATTCCTGGTGGGGTTTTGGCTAAACAGTGGCATTTTTGTTTGTTATTTACCCATTGTGTATTTCTGGAGAAAATGTATGCATTGGTTATGACTTGATGGGATATGACAAACACCGGAAACAAAAAATACTGTTCAGAATATCGACACAAGTTTGAAAAGGAGACAGAGGAACTGATTTTGGGTCTTTTGGGTTTTTTCTCCTCTGATTCAAAAAACTCTGATATGGCATACAATGCTGCTGTTCTAATGTTTAAATGTCTGCTTTCTCCCTCTTCTTTCTCGATTGGAACATGTTGCAGTTTCCTTAAAGGAATTTGAAAGATGGCTGGAAGTTGCCATGTTGTTGAGGATCCCAGTTTCTTTATGGATATATTAAAAAGGAACTGTCTTTGTCTTTTTCTTCTCTGTTCTAATGTGCAACAACATTTAATCAAGCAAATTTTAACTAGCACAGTAACTGATACTGAATGGTTGGAATTGGTTGTAAACAAAAATTAAATGGTCCCTGAAAATAGAAAATTTGTTCTTTCTTCCTCTCCTTCGAAAATACTAATTTCCCTTTCTGAAAGTGCTTCTAGTTGTGAAGTATTTATTTAATTATTGGTGATTAATGTGGTACCAATATTCCAAATTAAAATTCAGTAAGATGTAAACAGATTTGCAACATTTTTTTTTTTTTTTATACTTCTCATACTTTGTTAGATGAGTCTTCTAACCAGTCTTGGTCTTCAGCAGAAAAGACCTTCAGTGATGCTTGTTTTTTGAGGGAAGGAAGGAGACCGGATGCTCTTTTGGTGTGCTGTATTAACATACATTTCTAGACTTAAGACAATAGCAATACATACTTACATTACACTTACTTTTCCTGTACTCTGTAAGATTTATTTTTTTTTTTTGCTAGCGCTCAGCCTATGATCTAGTAAAATCTGTTGGCTGGCACCACTCCATGTGGTTCTTCTCATACATGAGGTGGTATTGTGTTGTATATGGTAACATATTTTATGGTATGTGGTACAAGGGTAAACATGGTATCTCTCCTGCTTGAAAACGATCTGTAATAGGAATCACTCTCTAAGACTGGTGGTATTGATCAGCACTTACTTGTAGGAAGTAAGCAGACATCTTAAGTGCATGTGTTTTCACATCTTTTCAAAAGCTTATCTTTACTGAACTTTATGCAGATGTCTGTGATACCAGCTTGTTAAAAGAATATATATTCATTTATTTATATTCAGTGCTTTATATTCACTGTTTTTCTCCTACATGTGGCAAGAA